CATTGTTAAGTCCAGCCTTTAAAAGTAAAAATTCACATTTTAAATTTTAGCCAATCTGGCATTTTCAAGGTTATGTGGTGGAAAATCTGAGTTTGGGATGTGTCACAGAATTGCAGACTTCCTAAATTGTGTCTGAGTTTTACATATGGCTTTAATAAAAGCGTGAGGCATCTCTCTCTCTTGTGGAAAATGGGCAATGTACCAGTACTTCAGAAGGAGGCAAGCCTTCATTTTGAAACTGGCATAAACATCTAGCCATGATTTTTGGAACTCTTGAATTTTTATTGTATAATCCGCAGATAAGTTATGTGTAGCCTGATGAAGGTCCATATGTGTGATTCTTTTAGTGATCTGATAGTAGAGTTATCACCCCCTCCTTGCCTTTAGATTATGTATTAGGACTCCATGGCTTTATATTGGCATAACAACAAAAATATTTGCACAGTCATTCCAAACCTATTTGGATGAAGGTTTATGGTGGAAATATACAGCATTGCAACATTTTCATGAATATGAAGAGAAGGCTTGTTTCATTTTGCAGTTGAAGGGTAAAAGTTTTAGAATTATAGTTTCTCTGCTTAACTTTGGTATTGCTTTTAGTATACAGACATCAGCTTTTACATTTGGATATCATTCACTTAAATTAGTAGTAAGTTGCAACTAGAGCAGAGATGTCATACTCAATTTCATATTGGGCTGCATCGGCATTATGGTTGCCCTCAAAGGGCTGGTTGTATCTGTAAGACTATATATAAATGTATCTACTGTACTCTATCATATTGAATATTATCCTCATTCAATTATTACTGGTTTTAGTAATAACGTAAGTAATAACTAGCTCTGAAAGTAAAAGTCTATGATCAAAGTCTAGAAATAATGGCAAATAGATAAGAACAGGAGTAGGCAATAGCGAGGACTACATTTCCCGAAGTGCTGTACTGCAGCCCAAGCAGCTGCATTGTCTGACTCTTCACTGCTTGGAATGCTGGGGGTTAGAGGTCCCACAGGGCGGATTCCCAGCATCTTTGTGGAGCATTATGGGTGACTGGGTAAGTGCCTACATATTGTATGCTGCACAGTAGCAGGCAACAATGCGAGGTGAGCTGGATTCAGCCCACGGGCCATGAGTTTGACGTATGTGAACTAGAGTAAGCCCGCTGAATCAGTGGTGGTTTGGTGAGTCAGCTCTCTGTAAGTTCCATTCATTCAGTGGGCCTGCTCTAGGTGCAACTTACTGCTACATTTCAACCATTGGGTCCCACCTTCTGTGCTGTTTCATATTTTCATAACAGGACTTGAAGAAGCATCTATCCCTTATTCTGTGCATGTGTTTTAATACAGTTTTGTCAGATGTTACATGGTGAACTAAAAATGTTTGCAGTGGACTAGGCACAGAAGCTTTTCTAATTAACAAAATTTAGTTTCTCTTATTTCATGCTACCTGTTTGCCACAAATGATTTATGTGACATACTGATATCTGGTAAGAGGACCAATAACAACATAGTGGGATAGTTATATGAAATATGACTTTAACTGAAAACAAAGGTGTAGAGATAGAATATGGAACAATGGAACAATATGGAATATGAAACAGTGGAATTGTTTTGAATGAAGTCATTATGCTGCATAGCTTAATACTTTCTCTTTCAGAATTGTTTGTGTGGAAGAAGTTCACTCCGTCCATTGCTTTACCGTGGATACACAACTTCTGGAGAATCTGGGTATGTCAATTCATGGCTACTTAAAAAAGCTCATTGAGTTACTCATTTTGTTAGATGGCTCATTTCATTAAAAGGAGCAAAATATTTCTTGTGGTTGTTGTGGGTTTTTCTTCCTAACATTTTGCCAGTCTCTGTGGCCGGCATCTTCAGAGGACAGGAGTCAGGTTAGGAGACAGTTCTGACTCCTGCCCACTTAAGATGCCACAGAGACTGGCAAAACGTTAGGAAGAACAATCTTCAGAACATGGCCAAAGAGCCCGACAACCCCACAACAGCCATCAGATCCTGGCCATGAAAGCCTTCGAGAATACTAAATATTTCTTGTTTATTAATTTTTTTAGCCTGGCCGTGAAAGCCTTCGAGAATACTAAATAGTAAAAATAATAAAAATAATAAAATAAGTTGCAAACTGCATGAGATGCCAAAGTGCCTCCTCATGTAATTATGCCTGTCCACTTAGGACAGATGAAAGTTATCTGTATATCCAGACACTGTCTGCCATACCTGTGGAACTCGCTCTTATGGCTTCACTGCTAATGGTGTTTTTACTCTGATGCCTGTCATGTTTCAATTTGTTTAGCCTGGTTCCTTTCTTGTTACTATTTTTTTTTGTAAGTGACTAAGGTTTTGTTTTAAATTTGAATTTTAAAATGTTGATTTTGAATACCTTTGCTTATAATCAGCATTGGAGAGCAGGGACCCTGGATACTGAATGCCCATATATGCTGCCAGGATATTCTGTGAATGTATTAGTATATAGTGGGTTTCATTAAAAAAAATTAGACTTCAGTTTATTATACATATTTTTCTTAGTAAATTGCAGTATATGAATTTGTGATTTGAAGAGTATTGGATTGTATTAGGAGCTAGTTTTGTGCTACTGCTTCTTTTGCATATTTCTTTCAATTAAGATACACTTTTTAAACGAGAGCTTTCAAGGGCAATTTAAGTTCCATTTGGTGGCTTGGGTTAATTAATACATTATTAAAACATCAGATCTCCTTTCAAGTCAGATTGCTTCCAAGGAAACATAAAGCAGCTTACTGTGAGCACACTTCCTTGTTATTTACAGAAATGTTCCAATCACTTGGGTTTTGAACTCATGGTGCCTTGTGTTGTAGCTTAAGTGTTTTTTTCTGCATGCATGCAAACTAGGTTTGAAGGACGTGTGCCATTTATGGTGCTTTCTCTGTTTAGGTAATATAAGTGAGATACTTTTATTATTACAGTATTGTGGTTTTGATATACAAAGCACATTCTCAATATTAATTTTTATTTTAAACAGCATCTCTGCTGGCAAAATTGTTGGTGCCAGTGTCTTGTTTGTTGGTGGAGGAGTAGGTGGCACTGTCTTATATGCTAACTATGACCCACACTTCCGAGAAAATGTGGAGAAGACCATTCCTTATTCCAGCAACTTATTTGAAATGATATTGGGACCTCCTCCGTATAGTATTCCAACACCAAAGAAGCCAGTAAGTTCATAATACTCACTTTTTTTCTAATTCAAAATTGTGCTTTAGATTTTTTTTGTATTTGATTAAAAATGTGAATGCGATTTCTCATTGTTCAGAAACCTGGATACCTTCAGTTTTTTAGGCCATTGAAACATTAGCTAATAGTTGTGATTTGAGTTTCTATTGTAATAACTACAATTGAGTTTTGATCTGTGGATTATAGAAATATGTGATATTTTGTGAAATGTATTTTAAAAGTGGCATGGCAATAGTAACTGCACATCATGCATTATATTATTTCAGGGATAGAAAACTTAGCAGCTAGATAGAATGTTCGCATAAGATGGATAGCTGTTTGAGTGCACAAGTAAACTTGCTTTCATTCCAATTTCCCACACTCCCACGTTCTCAAAAATCTTCAGTCAGGAGGGGCCAGGACCTAAGGTTGAAACTGTTCAGAAGCTGTAGTATACTTTTGTTCAGAAGTTGTAGTCCCATGCAGATCTTGTTTAACTGCAATTCTCCATTGGCTGCACTGTCCATGACTTTTGATAGTTACAGACAAACAATATCTGGACAATCAAGTACATCCCTTTTCTGATAAATGGTTGTTGATTCTTGCCATTACTTGGAAGGAACAAAGTAACGTGCCTGTTCTTGCAGCAAATCTTCCTGCAAGGTCATATCTTTTAAAACTGATACAGAGTGTTAAAATAAGGGTTTGGTGAATACCTAGTTCTAATTAGGCTCTTTCTAAAAGGCTGTTAGAGAAAGCAGGTAAGAAAAACAAGGACAGAGAAGCAGGAAATTAAGAAACCCTAAAATAAATGGGGGGGCAGAATGAAAAAGAATGGCTGAAATCCCATTGATGTAAATGTACATACCTACGCTGGATGATGGAGTGGAAACCTTTAATTTAATTAAATTAAAGGCTCCCTGGGGGGTCGCTTTTGCCCTTCGGAAGCCTTTGGGACCCTCAGGACAGGTGGAGAGCCTTTAATATCAGAAAATCCCTGCAAGATGAAGATATAATTGAAAGCTCTATTGTAATATGGGGGTTGGACTCAATGGACTTATCAGCCCCTTTGGAAATGGAAAATGAAGATGTGATTGATAAGATCCAGAATAATAGCTAGACCAGCATATTCCTTCATCCCCCTGATGTCAATGTCTGCTCTGATTTACAAATGTTGTATTTGTAAGCCAAAATCTATTTGAAAATCTGTTGATGCTGTGTCTGTTGAGAATAGTCTTTTGGCCTCTGCCATGTGCTTTTTAGCATTCAGGGTTTTTAAAATTTTGTTCCTTACTTTTTTTTATTCTTGAAAAGGAAATTCTATATAAATTGAGTTATGCCACATTGGGAAATAGGCAAAGTTAAAAGCCTTTTTCTACCAGTGCTCAAGATGCCAAAGCATCTCCAAACAAAAATAGGGTAAAATTGGCACCAAGAAACCTAGCAACTAAGCCAATAAAGAAACAAACATAATGGGAATTCAGACTTCTGATTTTAAAATGTATATGGAATAATACACAGCACTGTAAAGGTTAATCTCTGTATGCCTGTTTTTTGTTTGATTGTTTGTTTTGTTGTTCATTGGTTTGTCTTACCTACCTCACATGACAGGTACACACTAAAAATACTATCTGACATTGGGATATATTGTTGCTTTGAAATGTTGGTTTGCTGTTAGTCCTGGCCCAGTTGACTGGATAATGGGAATTCAGACTTCTGATTTTAAAATGTATATGGAATAATACACAGCACTGTAAAGGTTAATCTCTGTATTCCTTTTTTTTTGGTTTGGTTGTTTTGTTGTTGTTCATTGGTTTGTTTTAACTACCTGACATGACAGGTACACACTAAAAATACTATCTGACATTGGGATATATTGTTGCTTTGAAATGTTGGTTTGCTTTTAGCCCTGGCCCAGTGACTGGGTGATATATATGTATTTTTCATTGTTAGCAAATAGTTGACTGGGTGATATACAGTGGTGCCCCGCATAGCGACAATAATCCATTCCGAAAAAAATGTCGCTATACGGATTCGCCGCTAGGCGGAACAAAAAAGCCCATAGGAATGCATTAAAACACGTTTAATGCGTTCCTATGGGCAAAAAACTCACCGTTCTGCGAAAATCCTCCATGCGGCCGCCATTTTCGCTGTCTGGTAAGCGAGGAAAGGGTGCGAAAACACTGCAGGCGGCCATTTTATTTACCCGGCGGCTGTTTTGGAACCGCCGATCAGCTGTTCTTAAAACATTGCTATGTGAAAATCGGTAAGCGAAATGCTTACCGATCATCGCAAAGCAATGTTTTACCATCTAAAACATTGCAATGCAATTGCAAAAACGATCGCAAAAAACACATCGCTATGCGGATTCGTTGTTAAACGAAGCGCTCATTATGCGGGGCACCACTGTATATGTATTTTTCATTGTTAGCAAATCGCTTTTTATAAACAGCCTTTTCATTTGGAATTGCTGTATTTTTGCAAGTTCTTTTTTGTACATAGATTAATGCAAATCTTTCAGAACTTAATTCTGAATGTAATTCTATTGCTGCCAATTCTTGAAGGATTCTATTTCAGTTGTACACTTTTGTGCGTTCATAGTGTGTTTTGGTTTCTCCCACAGATACAGCCAGCTCCACTAAAGATCTCCTCTGTAGCAGATGTAATGAAGGAATCTAAACAGCCTGTATCCAAATCTCCAAAGAGTAAAACAGAAGTTCCTTCAGCAGCTAGCGAAGAAAAAAAAGGTGACCAGAAATAATGGCTGTGGCAATTGCAATAATTAGTGGATGGGTGCTTTATATATGAAACATTAGTTTTTAAGTGACCTGCTGTTGTTTTAAAGTTACTTCAGAGAATCTAATGTTTCTCCATTCAAAGACATTTGCTGATGGTTGTAGAAAGACTACTTGCATATATGTGGAATGGTGAAATGGGACTGGAAGTGTATACATGTACAGAAAAATTGCATTGCAGAGTTGTAATTTCTGTTTGCCTTTGTTCATAGCATCTTCTGAAGTAGCGCAGATAATCTCGGCAACAGGTGAAGCTGTGTCAGTTCCAGCTCCAGGGATGCAGGAGACTGAACAAACTAAAAGTCACGTACATCCTGAAGGTAAACACAGACCTCCTGATTTAAGTATTGCCTGTTTATCTGAAAGCTTCTTGTTTACTTGCAAATTCTGGAATTTTGAAATTCAAAGAATTGTATAAAATAGTGAAAAACTAGAGCCTTCTCTCTATGAGCCTGCCTGGGATTTAAGATAATCAGGGGAGGCCCTTCTCTCAGTTCCGCCACTCTCACGGGTGTGCTTGGTGGGGACATGGGAGAGGGCCTTTTCTGTTGCTGCTCCCAGACTGTGGAACTCTCTCCCATGGGAAGCTAGACTGGCTCCATCATTGCTATCCTTCTTCAAGCAGGCAAAGTCCTTTCTTTTCAGGCAAGGTTTTAATAACTGGTGATCTGAGAGGGTTTTATAAATGAATTTAAGCTTGTTTCAGTATTGATTTTATTACTGTTTTTAATGTAATGCTTGTTTAATTTTTAAAAATATTTGTATATCTATTGTTTTTAGCTTCTACATACTGTCTTTTTAATTATGTAAGCTGCCTTGGGTTCTTTTTAAGAAGAAAGGAGGGATAAAATATTTTTTAAAATAAATAAATAGTATGAAACTGTACTTGGACCAAGTTACTTCGTGAAGCAACCATCCTTTAAATTTTAAACCTACTATAATGGTCTCTTTCTGGGCTGTATTCTGATAGCACTCGTTGTGCAAGGCACCACTGTACTTTGTAAAGCAACCATCCTTTAAATTTTAAACTCACTACAGTATAATAGTCTCTTTGTGGGCTGTATTCTGATAATAGTTGTTCATTTTGAAGTCTTCCATGTGCTTGAGTTGAGAAGGGGAAGTTCCGTCAGTCTCACTGCTTCCTGGGAGTCATCCCAGTGCTCAATGGGAAGGCTAGTTCAGTGAGAGGCTCCTTAATAGAGTCTAGTGGGTGGCACGTCTACTCTTACCATGGAGTGCTTGGGTGACTTCCTTTCTTCTTCCCACCTCAAATTCATGGAGTGAAACAGAAAATGGACATAGGGAGGCATCCCCCTCTGCCTTCTGGTTTCTCCTCCTCCAATCTCAGAATTCTGTCTGGAGGATTCTAGGTAAATTCTGGAATTGGAAGTCCTAGAAATACAAAAGTATGCCTAGTGAGCAAAGGCTCATATTGGCACTGAATGGGCACAGTACTGTACTCTGAATACCTTGACTACCCACCACCACCATCACCAAAACAGCCATCCTTAGTTTTCTGTTCTGGAGCCAAATGAAATCCCACAACCAAAATGCAAGCAGCCAAAATGAAATCCCACAACCAGAATGAAAAGAGGGAGTGGGGATTTTCCATGTTGTTGTGCTGAACTCCACAAATCAGTGCTGAGGTAGGTGTGTATTGCCAAAGCTCAGACAGAAAAGCTTGGACTCCTCTTAATCAGACTATCACATGATGAGCTGAAATGTGGATCCCTTGTCCATCATTCTCTCTCTGACCTTTGTGTGTAATAGCCTGACAGCACTGTCACTTAAAGCACTGTTCGTAATTGTGAAGCTCTTAGCACTGGGTGGTCTGTTTTAATTAGACCGTATGAAGAGGTCATTCTGTGTGGCAACTTATGCTTCTAGCAGCTGTTGCCACCTGACATGGAAATAGCTATTCAAACAAGCTTGTGTTGAATTTGATTTTGCTTTGAGCATTTTACTTACCTGTTTGTTTTTTAAAACCCTTCTATATTAGCTAAAGAACACAGTCACAGCGACATGAGTGCAGCAAAAGAAAGGTCACCTGAGGAAGTTGCAGCTCGTCTTGCACAACAAGAGAAAGAAGAACAAGAGAGAATTGCAGGTATTTTGACAAAATTATAGTTAGGCACTGAAAATTATAGGTACTTTATAGCTGGAAGAACAAGGAACCTGGCTTTTTAAAGCACTGCACTACTGTATTATAAAATTGAATCTGTACTCAGCCCCCAAAATAAAGGTAGTTTGTTTCATCAACATGTAGCTTGACTCTTTAAGGTGAAATATAAAAATATCCAGTGAAATATAATTAGTCTTGTATGAAAAATGCCTGAGCTACAACATTTCAAATGTTTTGCTTTGCATGTTGGGATTATTCATTAATTAGCCAGTTTGCCTGGGATGTTGGCAAGTCTTTGGGTCCAAGTCTCAAGCCCCACGTCCGAGTTCCTATTAAAAAAAATCCCCCCAGAAAAAAGGGAGGGGTGGGTGGGTTCTGAGTTCCAAGCTGAATCTAAGTTGCATTGCATCACCAGTGCAACATAAGTCCTATTTCACAATGAGTCTTATGACTTGAGACCCTGTCCCTGCATTTTACTACCCACCCCAAACATGTTTATAATGACATTTTTCCTTCCTTGCTTGCTTGCTTGGCAGTTGATACTGTATACAGTATAGGGAAAAAATTAAAATGTTGAGGGATCCATCATCTTTGCAGTGTGATGAAAATCTGTTGTGCATTTCTTAAGATACAGAATGATAGCATTTTAATTTCATTTTAAGAACTGAGGGCAGAAATGGGAGGGAGAAGTGCCGTCAGAGCCATCTGAGTTTTACCGTCTTTCCTCCACAGCACTTGCAGCAACTTTAGAAAGTGCTCTGAGCAGCACTGCTCGAGTCACTTTGCAAGCAATTACACTCCAGGAGGCTGCTGTCCAGGCTGTTAATCTCCACACTCAGAAAGTAAAAGAAGCTATGGATAATTCTGAGGTGGGTATCGTTCAGTTATTTTTTTCATTTGTGTTATGTTTCTGGACATTTTATTTTTAATTCATGTCTGTTTTTTAGTGTCCTACTGTTGAAGGGGAGTTGCAACTTGCTTTACTAACATCAACTTCAAAAGGTAGGGATACAAATTGTAGTCTGCTTTGCATAATGTAACAGTAGAAAACAAAGTGGAAGAAACTCTGCCATGACTTAAATGCAAAAGACTTTGTGTTACAAATACCTTGTTTGAAGTTGATGTGAAACCCCTGGTAGAGTCATCCAGAGTTTCAACATTGGTATGATGGAATATACCTCTTGTTTTTTTCATGTTATACAGTAATGGATGCCCTAAACAGATTCTTGTAGTGACTTTTAGGCTTGACAAGTGCTGCCATCTCTTTCTTATATTGCTCACATAGGACCTGATATTTTGTCTTGCTTGTCACTCCCCTTCATTGGGGACAGGTATCTGGAATATCAGGAAGGCTGTCTTTCTTGTATCAAGCCAAGCTCAGGACATAACCATTTTTTGCTACTATTTGAAAGCTGCTCTGTGGACAAATTGTCAGTAACTAAGCTAGAAATGGAAGGACAATACTTACTCTATCTCTGAATATACCCTGTTTCCCCGAAAATAAGCCCTAGTATGGTTTTTCAAGATGCTCATAACATAAGCCCTACCTCAAAAATAAGACCTAGTTAAGGGAAACCCTGCCCTCCACCATTGTGCAGCAACCAGAAGATGACATGACCGTAAAATAAAACAGAGAAAATGGAGGCAAATTCCACCCAGGCAGATTAATGTGGTGTTATTGAACTCATCACTACATTCCTTCTCCGAGAGATAATCTTAAATGGTAGTTTGTTACTGTAGCGAAATGCCAACAGGTAACGTCATTCCTGCATGTCCATCACAGAAGCTCAAGGGGAGGGGCCAAGGGTAGGGCAGGAGGGGCAGAGTTAGACAGTTGGAGATGTGGAATGGCAGTTAGGGTTGAGAAGAGAGAAGAAGAGGGTTAAAGAATTGAGCTGAGAGTGTTAAGAGAGGGAATTGAGAAGGTTAAACAATATTGAAGAAGCAGGAATGAAATTAAAAGTACATAGTAGTTTGGAATAAAAGTGATTGCATACATAATCCAATCCGTGTTAATACCTGATACAGTTCTTACGTGATTTACCTTTATGATTTACTTGACAATCAAAGAATAATTGTTAATTAAGCCTCTGTTTCCTAAGTTCAATAACCCTTAGTTTTGGCAGCACACGTGTATAACATCATTGTTATTAGGAGAATACCTGGTGGCAGCGTGAAGGAAAAAGGGCGTGATCCTTTGTAAGGGCCATATAAACAGGGGCTACAAGGTTGATCGCCACAGTTGCCTTTATCTGGATGACTTGAAAGCACTGTATGTTTGTTTAGATTCCAAGTGACAGAAAGGCAGCTCAGTGGCGGACACTGGAGGAAACATTGGAGGGTCGTAGGAAAGCTGTTGATGAAGCTGCCGATGTCCTTTTAAAAGCCAAGTAAGTTGACTTGCCTTTAGCATTAAAATCTGGTAGAAAATTGTAATAGGAGTCTGTTTTATTAGAAATATAAAAAGGAACAGGATTGTGTAAATCTGTGAAAGAAATTCAACCCAATACAGTGGTGCCTCGCATAGCATAGTTAATCCATTCCGGATTAACCCTTGCTATGTGAAAACATCGCTGTAAGGAACGGGGAAAGCCATTGGAACGCATTAAACTTAGTTTAATGCGTTCCAATAGGCTCCAAAACTCACAGTTCAGCGAAGTTTTCCCATAGCCGGCAGCCATTTTCGCGCCCTCGGTAGGAGAGGGCGCGAAAACGCTGCGCGCGGCCATTTCGGGGCTTCCGGCAGCCATTTTGGAACCGCCGAACAGCTGATCGTCAGGCATCGCAAAGCGAAGATCGGTAAGCGAAACGCTTACCGATCTTCGCTATGCGAGTTTCGCCCATAGGGGCCATCGGTATGCGATCGCATTTGCGATCGCAAAACCCTAATCGCTGTGCGATTTCGCCATTATACGGTGCGCTCGTTAAGCGAGGCACCACTGTACTGGGTTATGTAGATATAATTTTATGCTGATTCTTGCTGATTCAGTTCAACCTTCATCCCAAGTTAATGCCAAAGAGTCATATCTGAAGCCACTTTTATAGTCAGAGGAAAATTATATATCAGAGGAAAATGATAGTTTCTGTATCTTTGAATGACATTTGTATATGACTTACAAATCATAGTGGCAAATATTTTGCTAGTTTTTAATATAATTATTCAGGTACTCATTTTTGTCTTGGCTTTTACTTTTCATTCGTGTATCTAGTGTACATAGACTAAGCAAACTATATGTATCTTTTTCCTGTTTTCTTCTCCTAAAAAATTGGTGCATCTTATGGAAAGATGAGTCTTATGGAGCGAAAAATACGGTATATGTATCTGTATTTTTAATCTTTTGCGCTTTGTGAGAAAGCTTGCTGTATGTTGATGAAGCAAACTTTTTTTTACAATTCAGTCTCTGTTGTAACATTTTCAATTTTGCATATAATCCTTTTTGAAATGTTGCCCTGGAGTGTTGGTGTCAGGCTTGTCAAACAGTTGGCAGAAAATCCTTCTGTGTTATTTCTTGCATCATACTGGTTACAGAAATGAGTGACATACTGACATTTTTATCTTTTCGGTCTTCATGCTGAAGCAGTAGGGAATATTGGGATAGCTAATGTATGGCTTTTGGTTTGTTTAGAGAAGAACTGGAGAAAATGAAAGGAGTGATAGATGATGCCAAGAAGTCTCAGATTCCTGGGGCCAAACCACATGTTCTGGCTGCAGAAGACAATCTTCATCATATGATAGTTGACTTGGATACAGTAGTCAAAAAGGTAAACTTAGTTGAAATTCTTCTTTATTGCTTTTTATTTATAAAAAGGGAAAGAAGCAAACATTCAGGTTCTTTAGCATGTATGTAACTCTTTATATATCTGGATGTGCAATTAGGGGACCTTATTAGAGGCAAATGATCCTGCTCCTTATTTCTGCTGTCTGCAAAAGGGGACCAAGAAATCTTGTTACTCTGTTTTCCATTGACATGCGACTCTTCTGTTCTTCTTTTATTTATACTGTTAAATTCTGGATGTAGTACAAATACTATTGTGGTGCTCAACATTTATTTATTTACATTTATTTGAAATATTTTTATCCCACCTTTCTCCTTGAAAAGGACCCAAGGCAGCTTACAACATTGAAAGACAATATTTGAAGTTGAAAACAATGAATATACAGTGGTGGATAACATTATTAAAAGAAAATATTTAAAGCTAAGAACAATGAGTAAAGAGACATATTAGCACTAAGAACAATACATATACTATTTTTAAAAAATGCCACTCTGAGAAATGGAAAATACAATAATGGAAAACAGAAGGAGTATTAAACATCCAATCAAAGCAGTAATGCATAACCATCCATCTAAAAATCAGACACAAGTGGCTAGTTACAGTGGAAAGGCTTGCCTTGAAGCGAAAGATCTTTGCCTGCTTTTGGAAGGACAGCAAAGATGGGGCCAGTTTGACCTATTGTGGAAGGGAGTTCCAAAGTCTGGCAGCAGCAACAGAGAAGGCTCTCTCCTGTGTTGCCATCAGACACACCTGTGAAGATGGTGGGACAAAGAGAAAAGCCTCTCCTGATGATCTTATCACCTGATCTGGCTCATAATGGGAGATACCATCTTTGAGATAGCTTGGACTCGGGTCATTTAGGGTGTTATAAGCTAAAACCAACACTTTGAATTGTGCTCAGAAGCTGATTGGGAGCCAGTGAAGCTGCTGTAACGGGGTTATGTGACCCCCTGTAACCAGCCCCAGTCAGCAATCTGGTTGCTGCATTTGGACCCATTGAAGTTTCCTGACACTTTCCATCAGCAGCCCCACATAGAGCGTGTTACAGTAATCCATCTGAGAAGTATCTAGGGTAGGTGTCACAGTGGCCAGACCAGATCTCTCAAGAAATGGACATAGCTGGCACACCAGTTTTAATTGTGCAAGCTGAGAGGCTACAACCTGCTCTAGCACTTTCCCTAAGAATGGGATATTAGATGCTCATTGGTAATTATTCAGTATTATGGGTTCCAAAGAGGGCTTTTAAAACAGTGGTCTTACTATTCCCTCCTTTAAGCGTGTTCCTGCCACGTTGCAAGGAGGTTATGCATTGTTGTAAGTGAAGGACTTAACACCTGCCTTGATACCTTGCCCGTTATATTCTTTAGGTGCAAGCTGCCCAGTCAGAAGCTAAAATTGTAACTCAATACCATGAACTTGTATCCAAGGCAAGAGAAGAATTTCGGAAAGAGCTGGATAGTATTACTCCCGAAGTTCAGCCTGGATGGAAAGGGCTAAGTAAGTAGGATGATTATTTTTGTTAACATTTAGTCTTTCCTTGATCGGTACGATTTATAGTATTAAATGAGATCGCACCCTTTTGATCCTGAGGCAGCCATGAAAGGTCTTCAGGATCAAAGGGTTGCGAGTGTGCCACACTTTCACGGCTGCTTTACCCACTTTCTAAGCCCCTGTGGGACTTAGGAAGTAGGTAATGCAGTCATGAAAGGGTGGCAGGATTGCACCCCTTTGATCCTAAAGCAGCCATGAAAGGGCTTCAAGACCAAAGGGGTGTGATCATTCAAATTTTTTAATTTGGGGGTTAGAAAAGGGGGGGTCATCTTATACATTGGGTCGTCTTATAAACAGAAAAATACAGTATATTGAAATTAAGAATTGAAGACTCCATGATCAAAGAATGTCAGCTGCTACATTTTTGTGAATTTAGAGAGATTGAGATACTGTAGTTCCTCTTACAAGGAGGTACAGCACCTTTTTCCCCCCTCTTACGGAAAGTGCTAATGTGTACACTTCAAAAAAATAATAATTCTGATTGAGGAATGTCTTGTGAACAGAGAAAACATTTCTTCAGAGAGGAAAGTGCTTGGCAGTCTGGCCATAACTAAGTTTAGACCTTCCTGAGTCTCTAAATATGTGCATGCTTCCAGACTTCAGAGGTGACCTATTCCATTCTACACTTTCAGTTCTCTTAATATGCATGCTGCCTACTTATATCTACGCTCTTGCAGTCCTCAGTGCTTTTAACAACTTACAGATCTGCTTCTGAAAGTTTCTTTAACTTTTCCAAATCATTTTCCCTTACAGAGATAACAGATTTAGGTAAGTTCTTCTCTTTCTTTCCATAACTGCTGTGTATCTGTAGTAACTTGTTTGCAAGTTGGTGTGCAATTTCCTTTGTTGTTTTTTGTTATAAAAGTCATAATGGTTATAAAGTCTGAACATGCTACTAACAGAAAATGATCTTAATGTTATTAAATATAAAATAATCACATAGCTTTGACTATAAATAATAACCGTATATAATTATATTTGAAAAGTATATCAGCATTTTCCAGAACTGTCTGCAGAGGATAGTTCTGCAGATGGCTGAACATAGAACAGAATTTCATAAATGGTTAAAGTTAGGCCTAAGTTTTCTCTTCTTTCTTCCTGTCTTTTCATTTCTTCTGAGAAAATCTATTGCACCAATTAAAACATCACAAAAACATTATTTCTGTTTGTGTTCAAGCCCATTACTAGTTAAGGACTTTGGCTTTCTGGAGTAAAGGAGGATGTTATTGATTATAATATTTCCAAATGTGGGGTAAATGTATTCCAGTCTTAGATGTAAAAGTTGGTCAACTCTCCCCATGATAAATGATCATTCAAAACCTGATGACTTAAAAGGAATCCCTGGCTCAAAAGTTGTATTGAATCAAAGACGTACATGCCTCCGTTGGTTTGTGGTTTTCACAGTTAAGTCTCATTTATCTGTGGTCAGAAAGGGCACTACATAAGGTAACATAATGACAGACTATGGGCAATTCAGCAGTGGTCTCAAATGTGTCATCTACGAGGACACCACCTGCACTATCCTTCTGGCCCACCACTGCTTTGCTTAATAATTTGGCAGGAAGAGTGAAAAGAATTAACCAATTTGAAAGAGAATGTGTGAGTATAGGAAAGTGTCATGTATTTTACTGTGTTATGACTGCTTGTAGGTAAGTGTAATATATGGAAAAATATTTATTTTTAATAACAACAATTGTGTGCTGTCAAGTCGATTCCAACTTACCTTTCCAGAATTTTCTAAGTAGAGAATATACAGAAGTGTTTTTCTGTTCTCTTCTTCTGTGGGTGCCCTAGGATTGTGCAGCAGGCTGCTGCTTCTCCCAGAAGGCACAGTGCGAAATTGAACTCCCAATGTCTGGCTTTGCAGCCAGATACATAAATCACCGAGATGTCCAGCCAGCATCTATTTATAATGCCCCTTTATATAAAATTTGATTCCCACCATGGGCTGTATTAAAATATTTAAAATATATGAGTTATGTAATGGCATGCAAACATTTTTATGATACAGTGGTTAGGCATGAGAGTTTCAGATTTTTTTTTCACTACAACTACCACAAGTCACCAGGGATTCCCACAGCCAGAATTCTGGCAGGTGTGGCCAAATAATCCAAGTCCTCAAAGAGTTTTAGTACACACACCTGAGGCCTGAGCCATTGCAAAGGGAGAGAGTGGGTGTGTCTTTTTAAGCTCCATGGGAACTGTAAAAGGTTATGGGATTGGTGGTCTCTCTCTGCTCATTAGGCTCTATACATAGTGATTCTCAACAAGCTACCAATTCTACTATAACCCCATTTTCCATAGTTCTTTTGCCTGGGGATGGAGGCACACAGAAATGTGACAAATTCCATGTCAAAGAAATTGGGATGAAATTTAGTCTATACACTAAATAAGTCCATTGCAGACAAATTAACATTAGAACACAGTCACCTCTTTGAAAATTTATTTTGTTTAATGTTGCTTGGTGCATATTCTGAAAGTTATCCTGAAATTTTAGCTGCAACCCAGATGGATTCCCTATCCTAGTCATTAGAAGGCACTATAGTAAGAAAAGTTTTGTTTGATACTTTTCTTTTTGTATATGGACAGGACCTTTCTTAGCCTTTGGATCTGGCAGCTCTCTTTTGGATGAACAATATTACTTTATCACTGCACTGTATTTTGAGTGCACAAATATGCAGTTGTATGACAAATCAATGTAATATAAAATATTCTAAATCATGTGGCTTTGCTTATCTAGAAAAAATATGTTCTAAGGTTCTGATGTCTATTGTAAACTTCTGGTATCTGTTTCCTCTCTTTAGCTGGGCAGTTGACAACAGATGACTTGAACTCTCTCATTGCCCATGCTCATCGACGCATAGATCAGCTCACTAAGGAACTGGTGGAACTGAGAGTTCGAGAACAGCAACACATTGAAGCTGCCTTGGAAAAACAGAAAATAGAAGACAAAAAGGCTTTTGAGTCAGCTGTTGTGAAGGCACTAGAACATCATAAGCGTGAAGTCCAAATTGAACAGGAGAAGAAGGTAACTATTTTAATTTCATAGCATTTTGTTCATCAGTCTTTGTACATATGTGCAGTATCTCTCAGTGATGTATGGGAAAAGAAAATCTAATAGTATTCAATCTGCTTACTTAATATGACCAGATCTCAGTAGAGTTTTGACTAGATACTTTCCGTTTCTCCAATTGTATTGTTTCGGAATCCACCCTAGAAACAAGCTCCAGGGCTGAATTAACAAGTTGGGCTTTGTCAGTGGAGATGGCTTTATGGTTGTCCTGGAGATGCAGACATTGTGGTCTAGAAGTTCTCTTGGTGACCTGTAACTCTCAAAAACATGGAAAAAATTAACTGCTGAGCTGGTCAAGAAACATTCAGAAGCAGGCAAACAGCCCTTGGCCGATTAGAGCAAGGAATTTTTTCCTCTGGAGATGAGGCTGGCACAGAGTCATAGTGCCCCATTTGTTGTTTGACTCACAAATGCACACAAGCTGAATATGCCAGTGCATGTGATTAAACCAGTTGGACACAGGTTGGAAATCTGTTGCATATCCAGGCCAGAAACCAGTGCCTAATTCTGCCAAGAAGCAGTGGTCAGATCTGGTAATTTGAGGTCATTGTTGCTATATTTATGGAAGTGAAACTAGGTAGGTGGGTGGAATAATGAATGCTTTAATAAATATGGCTTAGCTTTCAGTAGAGTTCCATGGGCCTTCACTTAGCCATATTTTGTGGCAACAGGAAATCTGCCAGATTTTTGCAAGGTCATGCTGTATTTTCTTCAGTAATTTCATTTTTGCAAGAGTGGATTTGATTTAAATCAAATAGATTTAAATTGTTATTTAAATCATTACTAAGACACACAGAGAGAGAGAGAGCTGCTTTTTGTAACCTTAATATAATGACCTTTATTCATTGACCTCTTGCCAACCTAGCAGTTTGAAAACATATGAAAATGTGAGTAGATAAATAGGTACTACTACAGTGGGAAGGTAACAGCATTCCGTGTCTAGTCGCGCTGGCCATGTGACCATGGAAACTGTCTACAGATAAACACTGGCTCTGTGGCTTGGAAATGGGGATGAGCACCACCCCCTAGAGTTAGACACAGCTGGACAATTTGTCAAGGGGAACCTTTATCTCTTTATTTATTGACACTTTCAAAAAGCCAAGTAAAGGCATGACTTTTATAGAAAGATAGAGTAACAATAGTTAAGTTTGCAACGTTAAAGGAATTAACACAAATCAAAGAACTATTGAAATAAATCCTTAAGATTTCAGTAGGGCTTCCAAGAATATCGAGCTTTATTGCATGCTGGAAGAAAGGAAAACTCCAGGAATAATTTAATCAGAACTGGAAAAAATAGGGCAAAGTGGATCTGTTATTTCTTACCTCCTTGTATTATTGTTAATAAGTAGGTAACTCTGAAATCACAAACTCAGTCTGAGAACTGCAGAATTTTCTAATAGTATCTTCTGAACTGAGTACTCAACTATGTATTTGGAGAAAAAGAAAGATTAGCCTGAATAATCTATACGGAAGCCTGTGGAACCTAGAAAAAAATCAAAAACTGTTGGATCCTACTGACTAATATTTTTTAAATAAATACATTGTCTCATGATGCAGAGTTAGAAGTTAAATTCTTATGCCATAATGAGCACATTTTAAATTAAAGGTATAATCACATAAGGTTTCTTAAAATATTGGGCATTTGAACAATTAAAATAAATAAAATACACTTTTAATTACAATTTTAAAATGTTTCTCTAAATCACTGGTCTTTATTAACATTGCTAATGCATTTTCAAATTGTGCTTTACAACTGCAAGAAACAAAGGCAAAAGTATCATTAAAGCATAAGCATGAACACTTCTAAAAATTAACTGAATGACCTATTTGATTAACAGTGTATCTTCTAAAATCCCGAAAAAGCTGTTCCTTTAAACAAGTATGGCTAATGTAGTTTATTGTGAAGAATTCTTACATTTTCCTTTTTATACTGCCTTTTATCTCCTCAGTTCATTCTTGTAGTGAAACACTCTATGCGAGACTGTTCCATCAAGGGAAGGTGGGCAGACCTAGCTACAAACAGGATTTAAAAATAGCTTTCTTTCAAGTAAGCATATAACAAAGAGGTGGACTCCAACATTTGCAAATAGCAATGTGAAACCTCTTTTGGACAGCACTTTCATAAACCTAGTTGTAGTGAAGAAGTAGAGACAGTAGTAACATACAGTATTGCTTAAATGCCATTCCTCACTGGCTAAACTGATGTTAATAAGAGTACCAAAGCTACTAAACAGAGGGGTGTCTAGTCTTGTACAGTAAAATTTGTGTACAGTTTTAGTGAGATATGAGCTACAAACGCATATAGCTTTTAGGCATGTGGCTGCAGAGCCGGTTTGGGAGTTTGGTTCCCCATTGTGCCTCTCTGACAAGGGCTGGATTCAAAGATCCATAGAGTTTCTGCTCTACAGTTCTAAGATGGCGATGGTGGTGGTGATGATGATGGTTACTACTACTACTTGTCTTTCTGGAAGGTTGAAGAAGCTCAAGCAGTTATGGAGAGTGAAATGAGAACTCAGCTCCGCCGGCAAGCTGCTGCACATGCAGATCATCTAAGAGATGTTCTTAAGATTCAGGAGCAGGAACTCAAGCTGCAGTTTGACCAGGTGGGAATTTGCATTAATATCTGAAGGAACCATTCTTTTTTCAGTGAGTAGTTCGCGTTACTGGCTGTTAAAATAGTCATGCATAAGTAAAGCCAGCTGATCTCAATTTAATCCTACTTATGCATATGAATACTTAAGATTATCTCTTAATTTTTGGATTTATGTGCTTTTCCTGATATTCTGTTGAGAGCCAGTGTTGTGTTTCAGAACTTGTCAGAAAAACTCAGTGAACAGGAAATGCAATACAAGCGACTCACTCAGGAACAGCTGGATAACTTCACTTTGGACATCAACACAGCATATGCCAGGTTGAGAGGAATTGAGCAGGCAGTTGAAAGTGAGTATGAGAAATGGGACTAAAGGATGTTGCACCTGGTTAGGGCTGGAGGGCTAACTGAGTTTGCCAAACCAATGATCCCAGCCCAGCAATCCAGTTCTGTGCAACTAATTCCACCCTGGATTGCACTATGCCAGCGCTGGAATGGGAAGGTATTTTAACTGGTCCTTCTTGTGCATAAACAAGTGCTGGCTGCCATTGGGTGTACCTGTAGAAACTGTTAAGATGACTCTAATCCCCCTTAGATTCCAGCCAGAATGGATTCTCTCTCCGTTCTTTGATGGTGCTCCTCATGAGAGCAACAATTATGGTCCTGTTATGTATTAGACAGGGATCGAAGTTGATTTGCCACGGTCAATGACACTGTCAGTTTGGATCCCTCTACAGCTTATTAATACTGTATGACACTTAGGGGATGATGTAAAGGGCTGGCAATTGCATTCTAGTTCAGCATGTTTTACGCTAATTTCTAATCCTTTATGGCGGAAGCAACACTTATATTTCTTTTACTTCTCAGAAGAGGCTTATACTTCCAACCCTTCTTGTTCCTCTGTAAAGCAAGGCTACATTCTTGAAAGATTTCTCTCTCACCTTTTACAGAAGGTGGTAGGATGGGACTGATAAGCAAATGGTCCAGCTTAAAAGTTCTTGTTATTTCAGGAAAGCATAATTTTGGAAAGGTTTTGCTTAGTCTATCTTGCATAATGGTCTAAGGCAATCCATATCTTTAGCTTTCAAGTCAAGTTACAAAAATTGTGTGAAAAGCAACCTGTCCATAGGCTACCCTGCTATGGTTTTATACAAAGATTGTTACAGGAAGGCTGTTGCACAGTGGTGGGGCATGTGTTTGTAGGTTCAGAGGATGCCTGGTTCAGATTCCATGGCATTTCCAGGTAGATCTGGGAAAACTCTCCTGTCTGAAACCCCAAGGAGCTATCGTCTATTGGTGTGTACAACACACAGTACTGTCTAGAGAAAGTATAGTTCTGGGTCTGTTTCAGTGTAGCTTCTTATATTCCTTAACATATTGTTATGCTTCAGCAGAAATGTGCTGCATTTAAAATTACTTAATGTGTGAGAGAGATCAGTTCAGCTGATGGCCAACTAGTTATTCTGCAGTACAGTGCCCCACCCCCTCCAGCAGGAGCCAATTCAGAGGTAACGCCTGATGCTGGGACACTGCTTCCAAGTGAGCTGTGTGCCAAACCATGGAACACCTTGTCGACTGTTGGCCGAACCAGTGGTTGATACCCATTTCTAGCTTTAAATATACAGAATCTCTCAGTAGACATGTATAGTATCCAGGCTACACAGTTGAGCTGAATTGTTACTAGTTAAGGTCTCAGTGCTTTTAAACCATCATGCCTTACTTACTGTAATACAGAAATCCTTCTGTTGCCCTGCCACATTACAGGATTGCTGTTAACTGTTCTTAAGAATGTATATGAAATCCTTTAAATATTTACTGTGTTTAAATAGGAAGTGGCTTTGGATCATTTTCCTGTTTAACTTTGGGATGTTTTATGTAACAGGCCATGCCGTTGCTGAGGAAGAAGCCAGGAAGGCCCATCAGTTATGGCTATCAGTTGAAGCTCTAAAGCAGAGCATGAATACTGCTTCTGGAGATGGCCCCACTGAACCTTTGGAGGGTGCAGTAGAAGCCATCCAGGCAAGTTGTTCCGGCAACGCCTTCACCCAAGCCTTAACGGCAGCACTTCCCCCAGAATCACTTAGCCGTGGAGTCTATACAGAAGAGGCACTGAGGGCACGCTTCCACACTGTCCAAAAGCTGGCTAAGAGGGTGGCCTTGATAGATGAGACAAGAAACAGCTTATATCAGTACTTCTTGTCATACTTGCAGTCCCTTCTCTTGATGCATCCTCAGCAATTGAAGCCACCTTCTGAGCTTGGCCCTGAAGACCTGGACACATTTAAATTGCTTTCTTATGCAACTTACTGCATTGAACGGGGAGATCTGGAGCTGGCAGCTAAATTTGTCAATCAGCTGAAAGGAGAATCCAGGAGAGTGGCTCAGGACTGGCTAAATGAAGCTCGGATGACCCTAGAGACGAAACAAGTGGTGGATATCCTTACAACTTATGCCAGTGCTGTGGGGTTGGGGACAACTCAGGTGGACTAATGTAGGTCAGCTATGCAAGATAATTATGTCTCCGAGATGAATCAAAATAAAGTGCAAGGTTTATAGCAGTGCTGGAATGGAAATCAGAGACATTTCCAAATCCATACCAGAGTCTTGATGTTGTTGGACAAGAACTGGTGTTCTGTCTCTTAGTACACTTCTAAAAATTAGCACTTGTTGCATTTGTATGCCCTTTTCCCTTCTTCAGTCATTTATCATGTCTGGAATGTGGTTTACTATTTTGGGACTTGCATAACAAAATTTAAGCTTCCAGGAATTACAGATCAGGCTTGTCAGCCAACCAAAAATAATGTTTATAACCTCTATTACTGATTTGCCACTTCGTGCAGTTAAATAAACAATGTTTAAAAAAGGGCTTGGTTTTTCATGGCTGTTTAGATAAACAAAGAACAATTGCAACTATCATTTGAGTGGATCCACACTGGACTGCTAGTGTTCAGAAAGGTGAGATTTGTTAACTGGAGATGATTTGAAACTATACGAGTAGATAGTAGATGCAACTGAGGAAATACTGCCTCAGCCAGAAGATTATTTCCCTTTTCTCTGTCCCTTCATTTTAGGTAACAAGATTAGAGGGCTGCATAAATCCACAATGCTCCAGGACTGCAGAGGAAAGAGTATTCTAACTATCAAATCAGTTTCTGGAGATCTCATTGCTTCCATTTTAAAGTGTCTCTTATGTGTGAACACTTCATAAGCCAGAGAGGTAGCTAAGCAGAATTTCTAGTACAGGCAAGGCCTGAAGTTAAGGTACAGTTTCTTGCCACTTCCAATGACTCCAAAACTAGATGAAAAATTGATTCCTGAGGAAGAGATGATAGAAGTAGTGTAACATTTTTTTCAGAAGCTTATGTGACAAAAACTGAATACTTTTAAAAACTATGTTCATTACATTTGAGCACTTGTAAGGACTTCTAAGGCTGTTTGGAGTTAAAATTTGAATACAATAAAATGTAAAGGCAAACAAGATCAGTGAAACCATTACTTATGGGAATCAGCAGATAAAAATAACAAAAAAATGTCCACTGACTAAATAGTTGGTGAAGGTATAGTTTTAATAGTAAACATAAACATAAGATTAGTCTATTCTGGTGACTTTCTAAAACAGAGTTCTGTAAAAGTGCTTGTATCCCCACCAACTGTATCTTCAAGATACTGAATGCAGTGAGTGAGTAAATTTATATGGGAGAAAATTATCAATCTGATATCCTAATTCTACCTGCTCAGAACCTTTATCAGGATCTTAAATGAATTGCTGTTGGAAATAAACTTGAATCATGTACACATAATTTTAAAAAACCATCCTACACTAGGTGTTCCAGTGACATTTTGCATCAGTTTCCAGACACTTTTCAAAAGTAATCTTGAAATTGCATTACAGAAGGCTAATCTTGAAGTAAGTTTGGCCAGATTTAGTTTATCCAGGCAAGGTTGTAGCTGGTACACCTACCAAAGGTGCCCAGAAGCTTTCATGACCACAGGTACTACCTAACCTTCCTGGAGCATGCCAAATCCATGACTCTAATTCTTCAAGAGAGTATTGCACTGTCCAGAATACTCCTAATAAGTTATTGAGCAGTAGCATCTCTTTCGGGATTAAGCTCCAAACACATCTCTCATCACTGTGCCCAGACAACAGTTTATGACCTGCAGCCCCACTGTCCTCTCAGCATGGAAGTAATTGCAGTCTCATCATGATATACTCTAGTCATTTCCAATGAATTTTTAACAATATAGGGACAAAAAACCTTGTGATTAATGAATTTTTAACAATATAGGGACAAAAAAACCTTGTGATTAAGAGATGGGGACGAATATAAAAAGGGATCAGGTTTTTTGGACGAAAATAGCCGATTTGTTAAATATACATCGATCCGTATTTGTCAAATTTTAAGCCCTGACAAATACATGTTAAATATTCATCAATCCGTATTTGTCAGATTTTAAGCCCTGACAAATACGGCTTGACAAATACTTCCCCATTTTATTCCTCCTTCATAATTAGGAAAAAAACATTCTGCCTACAGGCTGCTGATAGGCAAGTTTCCCTACCCTAAATGAAGCCACAGCCATCATCTTTGCAAAGGGCAGCCAGTTTCCCTTTTTACACGCCATGGCTGCGGAGGCCTGATGGAGACCTTGGCAGTGGATGCAACAATTATGGTAAGGGGCACTGGTGGCGTGGGTGTTTTTTTAATAACTCCCCCCCCCATGAATCAAATAACTTTGTCATTCGTTGCTTCATGGAGCCAACTTTGTGCTTCATGAGTCGTCAACTTCTGATGACTCATGGAGCAGAACGACTCCCCAAAATGGTGACTCATCCCCATCTCTACTTGTGATCCTTGCAGACCGACCAAATGCACTGATAGGCAGTACTTTTGTTCTGTGCCATCAAGGTGAAAATGACTTATAGAAACCCTAATAAGGCTTGAGATAAGGTGAGTGAGATATTTTAGGAGTGGTTTTACCAGGTCCACACACCAATGAGCTTCTATTGCTGAGTGGAGATTTGAACCCAGGTGTGAAGGAAAGTTGGAGGAAAGTGAGCCGTCCTCGACAGGAGGAAAGAGGGAGTTGTAGGATGGAGACATCAGGGGAAAAAGAAATCTTAAAGAAGAAAAGATAGAGGAGGTGAAGAGGAAAGTAGAGGTCTGCCTAGTAGAAGAGGGAGAGAAAGGAAAAAGGGAGGAGCTTGAGATGTCAGTTTGGGAGGAGAGTATAAATGTTCAGGGGGAGAGGAGGTTCGTTAGCCGGTTTGAAGACGAGGGAAGGAGGAGTGAGATAAGGAGACAGAGACGAGTTATGAAAAGACGCAAGGACTTCTAAAATATTTCCCAAACCTAAAAGTTGGAGGATTATTGCCTGATCCTGAGCCAAAGAGAGAGGGAGAGACTGTGTACGATACCCAAGAGTGATGCTAATCATCTTCCCACGGGGACAAGGATGAGGCAGGAAAGTGATAAGACCTGATTCAACCTATAACACACCACCTAAAGAAGGAGACTGGGCGCAACACCCATGTTGTGGCACCATCTGTGCAGTGAGGACTGCCCCTCTACGGAGCCCCACTGATCGCGAGCATTTTGGCCCAGCACCCCAATGAGCTATCCAGACTTTCAAGGAGAGTTGACCTCATCTAGTTACGGCCCTTTGCCTGACTTATCATGTTTTGACCCGGTTGAAATAGTTGTTGAGAAACCTAAGATCAATAAAGCTGAAGTTATAAATACCAGAGATGTGTTATTTCCTGCCAAAAATGAAGAACTGCCACAACATTCCAATGAACCCCATAAAAATGAGCATCCTCAGCCCTAGTCTTGTCATTCTATCCACTATACCACCCTGGGTATGCCATTTCTTATATTAAAACCACATTTCAAAATAAGGGCTGCAGACTCAGGTTAGAGATGCAGGTTTCAAATTTTGTCTCCAATGGTGACTGGAATGTCTCCCAATCTAAATAGACAAACCTTTATACATGCTCATCATCCTCATGAGCTGGGATACAAGCTACAATGAAATAGAAAGGTTACCTACCTGTAACCATGGTTCTTCTAGTGGAGACGTGAGCAAAATGCAGCCCTCCAGATGTTGCTGAACTGCAACTCCCAGTAATCCTCATTATTGATTGTGTGGGCTATGGTTGCTGGGAGTTGCAATTCAGCAACATCTGGCGGGCCGCATTTTGCCCAGGTCTGTTCTAGTGGACCTATGTGAATTCACACAAGTGGGTTTCTGCACCTGTGCAGGACATTTTGGAACTTCCTGGAGCTTAGAAAAAAAATTGACAGTGAGACCTCCCCCCTTGGGGCGCAAGCTCCACCCTCCAATCTTCCCCTCAGTTCCTTATATAGTCAGCCGCTGTCAAATAGTATATGTGTAAAGCTCTTACAAAGAATACACAATGCTGGCTGGTGCTCTTCCCCCAGGCAGAAGAAACAACTTGTTGCTGAAGAAAGAATAAGGGAGGTCAAAAGAAAGGAAAGATAAGGAATAGAATTGTTTTTCAATTGTGAAGTTCCCAACAAAGCTACTGCTACAGCGGAGGTTGAAAAAAGAACTGAGGTACTAGGTGCTGGGGGCAGAGATATACAGCCAGTGTAGGGGAGGTCCCGGCACCAAGTGCTTAAAGCTATAGGAGCTTCCGAGGATGCTCTGCTCAGGCACAGATTAACCTATTAGCACGTATTCACAGAGACCACAAAGGAGAAACATAGTTACAGATAGGTAACCTTTCTTTCTTCTTCGTGGCCTCTGTGAATGCACACAAGTGGGTGATGGCAAGCTCACTTAACGGATGGTGGACGTCACGGTAGGAAGGATGCCAATCCAAATGTGCCAAATCCAGTATCATTGTGTGCTCTCACATCTAGGCGGTAATGCCTGACAAAGGCCAATGAGGTAGACCATGTTGCAGCACAACAGATGTCAGGACTCTCAATTCCATGCTGGAAAGCAGATGATGTTGACAGCGCTCTAGTGAAATGTGCATTCAAATTATCAGGAAGTGGTTTGCCTGATAGTTCCTATGCCAGAGAAATAGTTTGGACTATCCATCTGGAAATGGATAATGATGAGGTTGGGCCTCCTTTGTGAGGTCCATGGAAACATATGAAAAGTCAGTTTTTTCTGAAAGCCTTAGTTCTATCAATATAAAATGCAAGACAGCGTCTTATGTCTAGCATGTGGAGCATGCACTCTAGAGAGATTGATGGTGATGGGAAAAATGATGTTAATATAATTGGTTGATATAGATGGAATTCTGATACAATCTTGGGCAGAAAAGACATATCAAAATACAAAGACACCTTGTCTGGCTGAAATTGGATAAAGGGTGGATCAGATCAAAGAGCAACAAGCTCACTGGCTCTTTTAGCAGATGTTATAGCCCTGGCTTGCATGGAGTCGAAGAGGGCTCCAATGTAGGTGACTGTGCTGGTTCGAGATGAGCTTTTGTAGTTTACTTTGAGTCCGAGGTTCTGAAGTGTGTTGAGAGTGATGGTTGTAGCTTTCATGGCGTTTTGGTACAATGTCGTAACTATCAGCCAGTTGTCTATGTATGGGTAGATGTTTATACCCTGAAGACGGAGATGCGCTGTGCCTGGTGCCATGAACTTCATGAAAGTCCAAATGGTAGGAAATAGAATTAGTACATCATGTTGTCGAATTGGAATCTGAGAAATTTTTGATGAGATGGATGGATTGAAATTTAGAAGCAAGCATCCTGTAGACCGATTACAACAAACCATTCTCCACTTTATCTGGGGTTTTTGAAAAGGCTGGCGTCGATGGGACTGATTTCGATTCTAAAAGGATGATGTTGATGGTGATGGACCTTGAAAGGATCTGTCA